AATAAATACAAATTCAGCCCTATTTTGGGATATTTAAAACATATTACATTTTTAATTCAATTTTATAATTTTGAAATTCTGTTTTGCTCCTATGAACAATAAATATCACTATTAATGAAAATCCTTTTTTGGTTTCTGGCAGGATGTCAGAAGGGGACAGTGTTGGAGAGTCAATCCATGGGAAACCATCTGTAGTTGCTGCCTTTTTTACAGGGATCGGACAGGTGACTGTCATGAAAATCACAAACTAATTTTTATTAAAGTATTGGTCATATTGTACAGCTTTGATGACAGAGGTTATTTAAATTTTGTTTCTTTTTCACAGCTCTATCAGACATGGCTTGACAGATCAACACCCTTCTATGCAGTGCGATGGGCGCTCACTTTACTACTTACTGCAATCTACATGATCAGAGTGTACATACTACAGGTAATCTTTAACCTGATTGTTGTTTTGTCAAACCTGAATGTACACTCAGTGTTGATTACGTAGGGATTTTGTGACCCTAAACATGCATATGTACACCCGCTAATCTGCATCTTCTATAACTCGAAATGGTGGCTTGTTGCTCAGGGTACATTTAATTAACAAACCAGTCTCCTTGTTTTTTGCTAAGTGAATAAGCATTAGAATGTGGTATTTTTTGTGCTTCTTCTTAGGGTTGGTATATAGTAACATACGCTTTGGGAATCTACCACCTCAACCTGTTCATTGCGTTTCTGTCGCCAAAAGTGGATCCTTCATTACTTGATGAAGGTAAGGGAACACCTTTGCGTATAAGCATTTTTTTTTTGTTATTGTGCTGTTTTGTCCTAAACTGTTTAAATATTCGTTCAAGTCATGTTTTCTCTGTTTTCTTTTGTGTTTACATTGGTTACATATAAGGATCTTGTATAAATTGGTTCTTTATGCTGCTTGTTGTTTGATGCTGTGATTGTTAAAGCCTTTGGAAAGCAGAGTTGATCTTATTTCTCTTGCAGATGAGGGCCCATCCCTTCCGACCAAGCAGAACGAGGAGTTCCGCCCTTTCATCAGGAGATTGCCTGAATTCAAATTCTGGTAAGACTTTGGCTCTTGTTGTGGCTCTCTCTTGTGGTCATCCCTAGAGGGATTGCAAATATTTTTTCTGTTTATTTCTTTGTGGCAACAGTTCCAAAATCTTTTTGGAGTAAGATATTGACTTTTAGGAGAAACCAATGAAACATGTGAGAAAAATATTCTTTTTTGATTGTCACTCTTAACTATAACAGTTTCTTCATGGATACTCTGTACACTTTCTATATAAAAACAATTCAAAAATATATTTAAAAGATAAAAAAACAAGTATTTGTATGGCATGACAGCTTTTTTTCCCCACAATATTTACATTAAGGTGTATAACCCTTAACTCATCTTCTGTCTTCAAATTAAAGTTTCATGTCATGCAGTTTTGCTACATTACTGCTTGTAAGAGAGACAGGAAGTGAATGTGGGTTTTTTTTTTGGTTGCTCGACATTTTGGTCATGTTTTAACTTAATAATTCTGCATACAAGCTTCCCTAGTTGGGTAAAAACAAGTAGGTGTTTAAAGGGTTAAGGGCTTTTGTTTTTAACGTCTAATTAGGTCTCAGTTACTGAACAGCTGGTATGTATTCATCATCATCATCATAATCAACTTTTTTTTAGGGTTCTTTAAAATGGCTACAGCTGAAAATAAGGTGCTGAACATAGCTAAAAATGCTAAAACACAATAAAATGCAGCATAAAAATCTAAAATTAGGGAATAAGAATTTGTCTAAACTAAATAAACAAGGTCACAACAATAAAGTCCTGCCAGTGTTAAAAGTCAATGAATAAAAGTAAGTTTTGAGCCGTGTTTTAAAATTTGGCAGTTAAGGAGCCCCCCTAATGTGCAGCCTGAGGCTATTCCTCAGCTTGTTCTAAAACTGAGCACAAGTGACAACTCTCTCTTTTTTTTTTTTTCTTCCCCAGAACGTGATATACAAATAAGGTGCCCTGTAGCTGTCTGTCTGTGTGTGTGTGTGTGTGTGTTTTGTTTTCGTTGACCCCTGGGCTTTTCTGTGTTTGCTCTCCATCCCTGTAATAACTCAACTGTTATTAGTTTTAACAATGTAAGAAAGGGGCTGAGCTAAAAAGGAGTCTGTCTGTTATTAATTAAAATTTATTTGAAATTCCTTTTTAGTTTATTGTGATTCTATCAAACAGCTAAGAATTGGTGTAACAAGAGGATAATCATAAGCACCTTTTTGGATTGTTACAGCCACTCTTTAGCTATCAGTGTATGTTTTTTATCTTCTGATAGTGCTTGCTTGTGGCAAGTTCCTTATATTTTTACCTGCAAGAGATAATGTCTGTATTGCTGTTAATTGGTGTTCTGAGCCAAACCTACCAAATAAGGTATCAGGTAGCAACCTACCAATAACTATTTAAAATGGTTGTAGCAGATCTTGATTTGCCAGATTTAGATTATGAAGCACACTGAGCTTAAGCAGTAATACTTGTAATATATATATATTTTTTTTTATATATTATCCATCACGTAGGTCAGTGCTCCACATTGAACTCTATCTATGGGAGTTATTCTGATGGTTTCTATTGGTGCCTGCTGTTAAATATACAGATGTAAAGCCATTCAGTTTTTATCTATATTTTTGGCACATTATTAGGCTTGATACAGACTTTTTTTTTTACCTTGCAGTTCATACATCACCTTTTTGCATACATCCTCTAACTAGGAGGCAACCTGGATTAATATAAAAGATACTTTTACCGTACATGTTTTAGTGTAGCAGAACCTTCATGTCTCTTAAAAAGATGCTATTTATGATGTCATCTATGACTGATGCTCTCATAGACTATACCTGGCTTTATATGTGTTAAAAATCAAAGGAAATTGTTGACATTTTCTTTTTAATCTTATAAGTTTTATCATAATAATTTCTAAACGAATGTTTGCAAAAGTCCCTGTTTTCTGCTCTCTCTTGTGACAGGCACTCTGCGACAAAAGGCATCGTCATCGCCATGATTTGCACGTTTTTCGAGGCCTTTAACGTTCCAGTGTTCTGGCCAATACTCGTAATGTACTTCATCATGCTCTTTTGCATCACCATGAAGAGGCAGATTAAGGTGAACCACCAACAACACACACACATTAAAAGCAGTGGACGATTTCAGTAAAGCGCGCCGTACACTGTGCGATTTTCGGGGCGATTTTCCAGTCGTGTGAGAATTTTCCGATCGGGCCGACTTTCAGCCTGATCGTGAGTCGTGTAGTGTACGGGGGTTACGAGCGGCGGTCAGCCGATCAGGAAACGCGAGGTCTGGAGAATATCAAACATGTTTGATTTTCTCCCGACCGTTGTGGACAAATCGCTCAGGGCGCAAACAAGGATGCTTCTTTTTATTCTTTCTCTCAGATGTAAACACAGCAGCGTGGCAGGGATGTGATGAGTGAAATGCAGTTCTGTCTGTAAAATTGACAGACCATAGTAGCCACGTATTTTCTTTTTTTCAAATACGTCGTCGCCTTATCTTTTTAGGATTTTCAGCACAAAATTGCACAAATTGATAAGGTAGCGCGGTTCACTATAGTGAGCTTCATATTCCTCATCTATTTGATGGACTTCAGGACAGAGAGCTACAGAGCAGCTCCATCTCACTGCGGAGCTGAGTCCGACGTGGATTTTAGTCGTACAGTGTGAGCAGGTAGATCGCATGAGAGCGTCGTTCTGCACATACATCGTGAGCTGTGAGCTCACACTGAACACTACTAAACCCTGCGGTTAATCGTACAGTGTGAGCAGCAGCTGCGCGCAATGATTGAAAAAAATCGCACACTGAACTTAACATATAAAAAAATTTAATAAATGAAAAAAAAAAATTACATTTTAAATAAAAGCAGAAAAGAATTGTTCCAGTCAGCTGTAAATGTGTCGTGGATGGGAGGGAGAATGTTTCTTATGTCTCCAAAAGAATGAAAAACACTGACCTCTGTATAGAAAATAACTCATTAAAAGGATTTAAAGTTCTTAAATGAGGAAAACAAATATCAGTTTATTTTGGAATATAATGTGATTTATTTTTGTGACAAAAAGTGTGCATGTCCTTCCTTTTTTGTCATCAAAACACTTTATTTTGTCTCAACTGTTGATAACTTTCCTTCTTTTCTGCTTTTCTCTAGCATATGATCAAGTACAGATACCTGCCCTTCACACATGGGAAGAGGACATATAAAGGCAAGGAAGACACAGGGAAAACTTTTGCTAGTTAGGAACTCCACCTCACCCTTGCCTCAGTCTCATTTGAAACACATTCATCCCAGCTAAAAGGGAGTGATGAAGAGTAGAGATTATTTTTCTTTCTTTTTTTTCTAAGATGGACAGTAACATTGAAACGTAACGTGAAAATTAAAGTTTTGATCCATAAATGACAGTGTTGGGTGAAAATATGAGCATGGATCAACATAGTCATTTGCTCATTTTTTTTTTCTTTAAGATTGGTTTGCATTAGTAGTTAAATGTTAATTTTACCCTCTGCATTTTATTCAATAAGATAGATGAATGTTATTTAAGGACGAACTAAACTAGAATATCATTAAAGTCAAATTTTCTCTTTTCTGATTCTTTCTGATGGTTGCTGTTTTATCTCCCATCTTAGTCTGCCAACTTTGAATTAATATGTTCTTCCTGCTTATTTGTAACACATTCAGTTGTACATTATGAACAACACAAGTTTGTTTGCAAAAATATGTAATTAGATATTAAATTTGATTAAAGGAAAAAAAATCTTAAAGAAACATTAAATGTTTTGGATCTCAGTATCTGCTGCTTTCACATACGTTTTTTAGATGAATATCAAATGAAGTTGCCTGGAAGTGTTTAGAAACATTGGATTTTAATATGCATTCATTTGTCTCAAAAAACATTGATGCGTGAATTTTTCAGTTAAAATGATGTGGTTTTGGTTTGGTTTTAGGAGGGGTACATTTGGTTGTGCAGGTTTTTTTTTTTTATAATTTGACTCTAAAATAGACTAGGTGTTAATGTTTAATATTATTTTACTTTGTCTGGAGGCTCAATATTTATGAATGCATATTTCAAGGAATCTCCTTTTGTCTGTTATCTACATTAAATCTGCTGGTTTTATGTTTATAAGCTTTCAACATTAAGCCTTCAAATGGGAAATTTTCATAACTTTACTACATAACTCTTTGACTTTCATTATTCTTTATATTTAAAAAAAAAAAAAGGACAGTTTTCCTCCAAAGTGCATAATCAGTATTTGTTGAAATTGAGTTCTATTCCAAAGTGTCTGTTCGCTTTGAAGCATTTTCCCATGTGCTCCAAAGTTCAGGGTTATTTTAGTTTTTGCAAACTGTTGTTGCCCTTTAAAATCTGCTTATCCTAAGGAGAAAAAAAAGGTTAAGTCATTCCAAGCAAACTGTTGTTCTCTTTCTTTTGCAGAGGAAACATAGGACAACAGATTGACCCCTTTTAATAAAACAAATGGATGAAGTTGGTGGCGATCGTACATTTTTTCTATGAACCTTTTGATTTTTTTTTTCCTCGTAACAAAGTGCTAGTAATCTGTCAATACTAAACTTTGAGCTACACTGTAGTAAGGGATCATCACATTTTCCTGTAAAAATATTGTGTTTCAAAGGGTTGTCTGGATTTGTGTATATACAGTATATATATATTTTAAAATATAATTTTTGTTTTGAAACTAAAATCTCTTTAATTTTTTTTCATCCACCTTGTAATTTCCCCGTATTAAAATCCATTACAGCTAAAACTGATGGAAGACAAAGTGATTAATTGGGTCCCTGAGTTGAATTTAATGTTTTTCATGGATTGCATGTTATTTTCTTGTGCTACAGTAAAAAAAAAAAGATAAAACAAAACAACTTGATTTTAAGAATGGAAGTGTAATTTTTTTTTCCACTCCAAATGCTATTAAAGAGGCTGTGTCCTTTCAGAACAGTACCAAAACTGTGTCAGCTTCATATGTTAATTCTAATGGAGGATTTACCCATGCAAATTCAAGTGAGATTCTTTAAAACATACATGTTATGTTAAGTTTAGCCATAGATATGTACTTTTGGAGTTACCATAGATACTATGGACTGCATCCCCTTGTGTAAAGCTGATTGCAAACCTGAAGCCCTGCCACCTGCTGAGAACCGCTTACTCCCTGTGTTGACATGCTTTGTGGAAATGCTGATTTTGTTTTTTTGGCTTAGTGTTAACTGCTGTAATAACTATGATGAAACTGTTTTAATTGGCTAGCTAACTCTCTTGAGCTAAACCTGGTGGTTTGTTGTTGAGCCTATGATGAAAGACACCAGATCCCACTGTACAGTGCAGACAACCAAAAGTCAGCCATTAAAGCAACCCCAACAGAGCAGAACCTCTAGCTGATTAACTCCAAACCACACTAAAATAATGCAGTAAACTATACCAAATGGGCTTAAACTAATAGAGCATCTACTGCACAGTGCACAGACATAGTTTTCTGTTCCCTGATATGCATTAAAGAAAATTATTTTTGCTTTTATTGATATTTTTAGCTTTTTTATTTCTTAGATATAATTAACATCAATAAATGCGTGCAATATACCAAATCATTGTATGATGAACCAATTTGAAGCTCATGGATGCACTAAAGCAAGTATTGCCAAACTTTCTAGCATCTGACCCACAAAATGGTATCGGTGTTTGTATACTCATTAGTCGAGTATACAAACATTTCTACAAAATAGATAATACAAACGGCATCAGCAACCAAGGTAGTTGGTTTTGTCCTATTTTTATGTAGAGATTTTATGTCTTAAAGCACTTTAACATAAATATATGATGTTAAAGATGAATTTCTGAGGTGTATTTTAAGGCCCAAAAGTGGTATATCAAGGGGCTCAACTTTGGGAACCAATGTTATTAAGTTTTAGAAAAGTATTCCAAAATTACTAAAGCAAAGACATTAGGAACTACCATCCAGACTAGGTGAATGCCCTTTTTCTGTTTCACAGGCTTAGAAAGAAATTAAAGAAAGACATTTCTGTACGCATCATTTGTATATTTAAAATCTAACTGGCACACCTTACAGATTTTGCTATGATAGTGTTAGCACACATGCCTACACACACTAACCTGTTTCAGAAACCAGAACTTGGCAGCAGGCAGATAAGATAGCTTTTGCATACTGATTTGTTAATCTGCCTGCTTTTACAGTTAGGTGCTTATGACCGCTAGCTATTCCCAGGGTTATGAAACCCACTCAGCGTAACTCATGGACAAAAGCAGAAGGAGAGAAGCAGTAATAAACATTCAGCAGGGTGGCATACGACAAACATGGAAATGACACGGATTTTAGCTTATCTGTGTTTGCTTGGATGTCTTCTCCATAAGGACACCACAGCTTCAGAGTTCGAGTTGGATGGGGATTATTTGATTGGCGGCCTTTTTGACATCCATCATGTCAGTGAAAGGCTACATCGTGAGAAACCAGAAAGCATTACTTGCTCAAGGTGAGACTCTTAGTCTTTGTTTATGTAATTTTTTTCCCCCCAAGAATAAACTTTATAAATATGGCTTAAATTGTTTGCATGTAGTCATGTAATTGAAGTTAACTTACATTTTCATGTTTGATATCTCTGGGATTTTGTGACATCAAATTATATTGTTTAATGTACTTCTGCAAGGCTGTAAACAGCAGCCATGCGGGTGATAGCTATCTGAACCACTTCCTGAGTTAACCCTATGTGGGGAGAGTTTACATAACAGCCATAATAACTCCAATGTCCAACATTTCGTTGCGTTGTTTTGTGCAGGACAATGAAAAGGAAGTTTACTTTGGAACAAAAGGGTTTTATATTACTATAAAATTTTCAATTGGTTTGCAAAGTTTTCATTTCATCGGAAAATTTTTCTGTGCAAGAAAAGAAAAAAAAAATTTTTTATTTGGATGGTTTCTCAGAAATTTGGCATCCATTAATGACACAAAAAAATTGCATGGACAGTTTTAAGATGAAATGTAACTTTTAAATTGTAAGAGTCACTGTTTGATAGATTACCTTTTTTTTTTTTTTTTTTTTTTGGTTTTGCACTAATCTTTATTAAACAGAGCTTATTTGAACATCCAGAATATTTACTGTAAAGAAATCCACCTTGGAACAGGGACTGCTCTGGCTGGCTTGACTTCCTAGTAACATCTGGTTTCACTTATTTCCCTAAAACTGAACAAGACATTTCTCCACAGCAACCCTAACATAAATGTCTAAACTCTCCTTTTACAAAATCTAATCTATAAGGGTAACAACATAAAGTCTTACCTTATGCAGAATCTTCACTCCTTTTCTATTCACAGTCAACCTTTTATCCTGTCAAGTTACCGGAGGTTCCAGCTGATGAGATTCGCCATAGAGGAGATCAATAACTCTACCAGACTGCTGCCAAATGTTCAGCTTGGTTATAAGATACTAGACCTCTGCTCAGACACACAGAACTTCCCGGGTGTTTTTAAGCTCATCACTGATAGAGGTTTCATCCAGCCCTGGAACTCCTCATACAGGATTGGGTCCAAAATGATTGCAGTGGTTGGTTCTTATACAAGCTCAGGGACACTAAGTGTTGCTCCACTTTTCATGATGGACTTCTTTCCAATGGTAAATATTTCAGCTATTTTAATATTTAAAAAAAAAAAAATAAACTGAAAAATAAAATGTATTATTTTAAGATGAAATGACGGTATATGGGCATTTGGGGGTTCTGACATTTCTCTTCAACAGGTCAGTTATGGAGCTGCCAGTTCTGTCTTTTCAAGAAAACAGAATTTTCCCTCATTCCTGCGAACAGTCCACCCTAATAAGGATGTAATAGAGGTAGTGTTAAGTATATTGCTAGAGTTCAACTGGCTCTGGGTTTCATTCCTTTACATTGATGATAACTATGGCAGAGATGGCCGGGATCTATTCATAAGGACTATCGAGGGCACTGAAATCTGTCTGGCCTACACAAAAGGCCTTGATCAGAATACAAACTACTCTACGATTTTCCAACATATTAATTCGCTAAAGGTAAATGTCGCAATTGTTTTCGCACCGGAATGGACTGCTGAAGCTCTCATTAAGGCTGCCATAAAACACAACGTCAGAAACAAAGTGTGGATAGCAGGAGATGCTTGGTCCTTACACAAAGAGCTTCCGAAAGAAAAGGGAATTGAAAATATTGGAACAGTAATCGGCATAGCAGAGCCAAAAATGGAAATAACTGGTTTCAATGATTTCATCTTTTCCTTCAAAGACCAGTATCAGAAAGGAAATATAATGCAAGAAGCATTTTGTGGTCAGACCTGCGACTGCAGCAATCATACTGCCGAAGATATCATTAACGCAGACCCATCCTTTAATTTTCCTGTTTACTCTGCTGTGTATTCTGTTGCCCATGCCTTACACTCAGTCCTTCAATGTGAAACCGGCAGCTGTAATAGAAGTATTGCAGCACGTCCCAGCATGGTAAGTATAGGATAACTACATAATCTATCCAACGTTTCCGCAGTTTAGAACATGTCAGTTTCCATTTTAACAATTTATATTTTTGGTACATTGAATAGATCTATATAAAGATCTATATCTACAAATATTAAATAAGTTGAAACATAAATTAAGTTTATTCAGAGATCTGTGATTTACTGCTAATATGCCCAGAGAAAGAAGAAAAAGCTCTACATATTTCTGCTGGTCTAAGTTTCTGCAACGATTACATCTTTAAGATTATTAAGAATTTTGATATAAGAGAAAGATAATTTGACAGAGTATGAAAAGCAGCTTTTCAAATGTGTGCGATGATAAAACAGCCTATCTGGTAAATCATAACTAATTTACCAAATGTTTCGGGTGTAGTACTATTTCACCAGTCATGTCAGGACCAGTTACTGCCTGACCATTTGGATAAACAAGTCACTAAACTAGAACTCGAAAAGACGGCTGACATCTATATGGATGGAAAGATTCACTCATTTTTCAGATTAAAAATACAATTTGAAAATAACAAAATATTTTAAGCAGATAAAAAACACAGAGCCCATATTTGTATATTAAACAGTTTTTTTTAGTAGTGTTTTGATGATTTCAAAACTGTAAGTGGAAAAATCATCCCTAATAGGAGAAAGAAATGCATAAAAGGGTTAATATGTTCGATATATGCTCTATGTACCACTTAATCAAAATCATTTGTATTAGTACCTCAT